ACAGACAAAGACAAGATACTAAGATTGGCAAGAGAAAAATGGCAAGTTACCTACAAGGGGTATCCCATCAGGCTAACAGCAGATCTCTCATCGGAAACAATGCGAGCGAGGAAAGAATGGGAAAATATATTCAACGTGTTAAGGGAAAAGCAATTTCAACCAAGAATACTGTACCCAGCAAGATTATCGTTCATTTGGGAAGAAAAGAAAAGATACGAACATTCCCAGATAAACAAAACCAGCACCAGACCAGATCTCCAAGAAGTTCTCAAGCAGTACTATACCAGGAAAATTAGATACAGACATAAGGAAATAAGAGTTCAAAAACTGAGAAAATGGCCAACTTAAAAATAGGAACAAGTCTGGAGTTGAATATTATACCCCAGAATTTAATCAGGAAGATTGAACCACAACAGAAGATAAAGTACATGGGACTAAACTGGTGAAATAGCATTTTATGACTTTTGACTAAAACATTGCTGATTTTCTCCTAGGCTTTGTTTTCCGGTTTTAAGGATTCTTGTCCTGTCTTGAGCTGTTGATAGGTTCATGTACCTACTATTTGAACAGAATCCTAACCTGTTTCCTGGCTTTACATTTTAAGCGAAGTTCCTTAGCATTTCTTTGATTTATTAAAATTAAAACTGCTTTTTTTTGGGAGGGGTTTTTGCTATAGGGTGTGTGCACTCGCCAGACAGACAGAGAAAGACAGAGAGACAGAAAGCGAGAAATCACCCCCCAGGTGGGATGGCCACGCCGCAATCCCTTCTCCTCCATTCTCCTCTCGGGATCTTGGGCACACACGCATACGTGCCCAGCATGAGTTTTAAGCCACTGGGTCTGGGACACAAACTGCGGTCAACTACATGGGAGTCCAGCAACATAGCCATTATGCTAACTGCTGGTCCCTCTTTCTCTTCTTCTCTCAGGCATTTGCACATGCCCTCTGACATGTAAAAAACAATAAATGCTTTTCTTGATATTACCAGCTGAACTTGTTACTGAAAGTGGTTGTTTTATATTTTTTTTGAGAGATTTTTGTTATAGGCTTCGTGCGCTTGCCAGAAAGACAGAGAGATACAGAGAGACAGAAAGCAAGAAGTCACCCCCTGGGGAGGTCCAAGCCACTAGGTTCGGGACTCAAACCACAGTCGACTACATGGGAGTCCAGCAATTATAGCTGTTACGCCAACTGCTGGTCCCAAAAGTAGTTAGATTATTGAAGAAATGGTGTGATCACAAAAATGTGAGGGGAAAAGGAATGGAAGACAACTGTAGACACCAGAGGGAGTGTGGGAAGAGGGTGTAAGGGCAGAGGGACAGAAATAGGAGTAAAAAAAAAAAATACACATACACACACACGAAACTAGAAAAGGAAAGTTACTGACAATAACATGCATGATTAAGCCAGTATGCAGTATATTCTGGATGGGAAATCACATTTTGTATGCTGTGATGATGCTTAGGGAATGAATGTAAATTAAAAAATAAATTAAAAAAAAAAAAAAAAAAAGGCTAATCAAAGCAGCCTTGTACTGGCACAAAAATAGACATATAGACCAATGGAACAGAATGTAGAATCCAGCAATAAATTCTAAATAATACAGCCAATTGATTGTATTTCTTTTGAGGATTTTGCCATAGGACACATGTACTTGCTGGAGAGAGAGAGAGAAGACAGTGAGAGGGAACAGGAGAAGTCAACACCCAAGGGGGAGGACCACTGCAATCCCTTCTCCTCCACTCTCCTCATGGGATCTTGGGTATACACACATATGTACTGGCATGAATTTCAAGCCACTAGCTCTGGGACTTGAACTGCAGTCAACCATGTAGAAGTCCAGCAATGTAACCAGTATGCCATTTGCTGGCCCCCAGTCAATTGATCTTTGACAAAGGGTATGAGACAATGCAATGAAGAAAAGAAAGTCTTTTTCAGAAAATGGTGGAAGAACTAGATATCCATCTACAAAAAAAAAAAAAAAAAAAAAAAAAAAAAAAAAAAAAAAAAAACCCCGTCTCCAAATAAATAAATAAATAAATACATAAATAAACAAAAGAAAAAAAAGAAAATCCAAAAGAATCCACCAAAAACTACTGAAAGTGACAAACAAATACAGGATACAAAATCAGAGTACA